CGCCAGCTTTAAGCTGTTCCTTGGGCATGACCCCACTACAGATGAAGTCTATGGCTGTCACTCGTAGGTTCTCCCAGGCCAGTCCAACAACATACGAAAAATATGATGAAGCAATTCCTAGAGACAGGATGAGTAAAAAGCCAGAAAGTTGAAAGCAATCAAGAATACCACTCCACTTTGGGAGTCTGCTTTCCAGTTTACCCTACATGCACACAAAAAACGTTACTTATGGCCTGCACTATAATTCTTTCACATGGCTACACATAACCAAGAAAAATTCTTACAAACTGGATTAGGATTTCAGAGCATTTGATGTATGGGGTCCATCACCCCATCTTTGGGCAGGTAAACACCTTAAGACAGCCATGTACGCAGTCACCCCACATAGAAGTTTGAACGTCTATGAGGTCTCAGACCCAGCATCAAGAAAACCAACAGGAGCTTGGAGGCCTTGGAGCTCCCAGAATTTTCTCCAGCCGGAAGACCAAGTCGATCCTGGGCCTGAAGCCTGCCTTGCTGTAACGTGAACTCAGTCGCAGCACAAAAGCAGGCAGCTGGTCTCAACACTCACAATGTGACTGAAGACAGTGGTCGCCAGCTCTTGGCTCCTTCCTTCCCCTTCCTCCTCCTTTTTTTTTCAAACTCCTCCCTTGTTTGGTCATTTTTCCTAAAGGAACATGTATGGAGTCATTCTATGGGCTGGTGACTTTGTCACAGGGCATATCATTTAATTTGTCCCTTTTCTCTGAAATCTCTATTCTTCAAGTGTTTGGTGGCCAAACCTAGGCACAATATTTCAAGAGGTCGCTACTAGAAATGTTTCAAATCATGTTGGTTCAGGGATCACAATGCTGTCAGTGCTCCAGTGACTGACTTTAAAAGTTCCCAACTTATAAAAATTGGGTCTTTACATAATATGGATGTTCAGTTTTTCTTGGAAATCTAGACCTGGCATTACAGGGTCTGCATTCCTGCAAGCCAATAGATCGTCTAGAGCTGGGGCATGTGCCCTCCACGACTTGAGCTAGTGACACCTTCTTTTAGACATGGGGAAGCTAAGACCCCAAAGGGGGTATTGCCACACAGCTAATTAGTAACAGGGTTATTAGCCAGATGGCCCAACTTCCTTTTCTCCTTATTAACTAGAAAACCAATAGGCTGAATGGCAAAGAACCACTCATCTCTGATTGTATATCCAAGGAGCTTTACAAAACCTCTCTTAGAATCTCCATAATCAATATGGGATGCATTTGTAGCTGTCAATTTCTTGCAGTAACACCTCACCTACTGAGGAAAAAAGAAACTATTATTTATTGAACACTTATGTGACTGTAGGAGACGACTGGAGAGGTTAAGATCGTCTGACAGCTGAGGTCCTTCCCACTCTGCAGCAATGTTCGGGCTCAAGGTCTGCTGTTCATAATGATGAGCACAAATTACCAATAGTTTTTCACATTTAGCACAGGCACAGATAGACCTGTGAAAAATGAGTCACTACAGGGAAGGGCAAGCAATCACCTCAACTCCTCCCTCAAGGAACTTGCTGAATTATGGTAACCAAATATTACACAGTCATGCTCAAGGAGGTAAAATTACATGCACTCGCATGGAATGATCTCCTAGAGAATATTAGATGAAAGGGCGCCTGGGTGGCTCGGTTGGCTAAGCATCTCTTGATCTCGGCTCAGGCCATGATCGCCGGGGTTCGTGAATCGAGCCCCGCACTGGGCCCTGCACTGACAGCGTGGCGCCTGCTTGTGGTTCTTCTCTCTGCCCCTGCCCCCTCACACACAAACACTCTCTCAAAATAAAAAAAAAAAGTGTAAGATGAAAGTGTGACACAGCATGCTACCATTGATATTAAAAGGGGTGTGGTGATGTGTACGTGTGTGTGTACATGATATACTCATATATGTATACATACACAGAGTATTATTAGCTGTTGAAGGATATACAAAAAACTGGATAATACTAGGGGACTGAGGGTCCAGGGTGAAAGGGAGGATCACTTTTTACTCTATGATTTGTACATAGGTTTGCTTAATCATATGCATGTTACATATTTTTAAAACATTTACAAGAAAAATGGATGGAGGCAATACTGTCTAGAAACACTCTCATCCCCAAAGTCCACATTACCAACCTGGCGGGTTGATGGGGGGCGGGGGGGGGGGAGATCTAGTTACGCGGAAAATTCCGCTACCACGCAGGACTTCTGAGCAGAATCCTACACACGCAAACGGTATCCTTCCTGATTTAGTAACCAGCCAGTGGTGTGTGCATCTGTGAACGTGGACAACTCAACAGTCCCACGTCCTGCATTTACCGGGGTCAGGCAGCAAGCGTGCTTTTCACACCTCCACCTGCTTCTTCGAGAACCAGAGGATCCACTTACCCTCGGAGCCACTTGGGACACTGAAGGGGCCGTTTTCGGATTTTTACAGTAACTTGTGAAGCAGTGAAGAAAGAACTTACCGGGAAGCCAGCCCCCAGCTCCTCAGGTGAAAGTGAAACAAAAGAGCAAGACGCCCCAGCATGGACTGGTATTATCGCACACAAACCTCTCCCAAGTCAAAAAGCAGTTTGCTTTCAACCTCATTTTACAGAGCAGATGAGTTGTTGTTGTTTTTTAATCTACAAATTTTAATGGTACATCACTGAATTACTGAGAGAACATAACAGTTGGTTTTTTTTTTTTTGAAAAATTTCTTAACAGAGCATCAGAGTATTGCAACACTTTATTAAGAGTATTGGCTTTGAATTAGTAGCTGAAGTAACAATTGCATGAAGCCAGATTAGGTGAACTGCATAATACTCATACTTGATTTATTGACATTACTTAGCAATTTATTGGACAAAAGTCAAACTTTTTGTTTTTTATTAAGCACATTCCACAGTACAAAGCTGTCATGAATAATATCTGTACAATTTAACAGTTTCAATAGCTGTTCAGACACAAATTTATTTCAAACAGATAATTGGCAAACATAATTAATTACAAGTTAGAATTAGACTATCCCAGTGCTTTAAAACATTAATATAGCAGTAATTTACAGTTGCTCAATTATGGTTAGCAAAATAAAGTCCAGAGTACGGCTGGGAATTACTACTATAATCCCAGAAAGTCAGAATTCCTTGGGTGCCAGAGTCCCCTGCTATAATTTAATAGGCACAATTCAAAGGTTGTGTGCATATTCAAAGGCCATGATCTCCCAAGGAACAAGAACTTCTATATTAAACATGCAAAAACAACAACAGAAAGTCCATTCGTTCAGAAGAATTGCCTCCTCCCCCGCCCCTCCCACACCCCCGGGCTCTCCTAACCAGTCTGATATAAAGCTGTAAGGTGGAGAGTGGTAAAGGTGAACTCACTTCCAGAGCCACTGTCAAGCTTACAACATCTACCTCACGAAATAGAGATTTCCTTTTATTTATTTTTTTACACTTGGAGACTCAACTTCTCAAAAATAGAAATTAATTTGGTAACATGTGGAAGGGAAGGATGCATTTTTAGAAAAGGAGAAAAGAAAAATCAAAAAAGCCAAGCCAAACCAATAAACAAATCACATACACACACTTTGATCCCCACACCGTTCTCAATGCAAAGGACAGAACAGAGCCCAGGGCCCTTCCCTTTAGTTATAGAGTGTGCTTCCACGGGAAGAGGTTTAGTTAACAGGAGGTTCTTATTGGTCCTTTAAAATGTTACTGACATTGCTTAATCTTTGGAAACAATGGCAAGGGGCAAACAGGAACCTAATATTGAACAAGGGAAAAGGAGTGCCAACCGAATGCCAAAGTCCTTTCGGTGCACGGTCGGCGTGAGAGTGCCATTCACACATTCGGGCTGCGGGGCACTCGGGAGCTTTGGGAACCTGCCAGGGCCACAGCGACATGTGACACCAGAGATGACGGCAATGGGATTCAGGAGCTTGAGGCTTTGCACCACACAGGAGTACCCTTCCACTCAAGATGGGCCCCTGAAGCAACCTGCCACGGGATACGGGCTCCAACATATGAGCAGGCCCGGTTAACATCCTGGTAAAGCCAGGATGCCTGAATTCCAGTGCCAGGAAACCCAGTCAACAGGGCCTTCTTGTTCCTCCCTTTCCAGGGTTACTGACGCACAGAAGAATGATCTTTGACGGTGAAGTCAAATGAACGCTAGTACTCAGAGAAGTACTTGGGAGGAAAAGAACGACAAAAAATAATGTTAAGGTACCTCTCTGTTGTATATGCTGCACAATGAATGAAACATTTTGTGTTAAACTTTAGAAACTACATTTTAAAAACAAGATTCCCGTTAAAACCACACACACCACACACATACACACAAAATGACAATGACAAAATAAAAACACCGTATGAATACTGCAGGAAGGGTTCTAGGTAATCCACATCAACCCTGGTATCAGGTTCTTGAGCCCAGCCCATGGCTAAGTGCGAACACACTCTGTATTAGTGTCTCAGGCACAGGGGCCCTGACTCTAGCAACCTTGAGGTTAAACTGTTATGTACATTATATCTACATGCGGATACAGTATTTTAAATTAGGAGGCAAGCACACGTGTAAAAGTGTTACTCTACCAAATATCAGGAGATGGTTGGGGGACAGAGAACAGTTAATAAAAGAGCTATATTACCTGTTGGGAGATAATATAACCTGGCTTATAGTTCTTTAAATTAAAAGAAATTGGTACAGAAAGGAAGTGTGATCCAAAAAATATTACTAAAACAAACCAGAGAAATGTTTCCATTGTCCAACATGTTCCTAATACAGGTCAGAATTCATAATGACTTGGACGGTCAAAAGGAGAATGCTAACTTCTGAAACGGAAAGCCCTGGACATTCTGGGTAGGTGTTTGGCACCCAAAATTTCACCAAAGAAGAATGCGGTTTCTTAGTATCAGACCAAAGTGCAAAGCAATATAAATTAGAGGCCAAGTCTTCTCTTGATGGTCGATTTACTTCTGTAAAACAGACTGTACGTTCCTTTTATATGAACAATTTACATTTGAAGCATTAGATTTTGTTTTTTTTTCACTGACGGGGGGAGGAAATGGGCTTCTGTTCTACTGGAAGTCGGTGAAGCTAAGGTATCCTTCTCAAAGTAGAGGCCGGAATCGGAGGTGAGAAATGTTGGTACTTGGAAGAGTTAGGCTGCTTTGCATCTACCCAGCGTCTAGAACCAATTCCAGCTTCATAACTCAGCTGCGAAGAACTCCCTTAGGCATTTGGTAGCCATGTAGCCAGTAGTTCAAGACTAGGAAACCCTGGGAAAACAAAACAACAAAACAAAACACAAAGGGAGTGTGGATGGATATTCTGGTTAGACATGGAGATATACACCACAGCCCATCCACACCCACACAGACATGCCCTTGTGCACACATAACACATTACTGATTTTCAAATATATAAAACATATAAAAATATTAAAAAAAATAGACTTTATGTATTATATAATATATAAAAAATAAAAGCTGCAAGATGTTTTGAGTGTACTACATACCAGGCATCGTATTTATTTAAAACCACAACAATCTTATGAGGTAGAAACTATTATACCCACTTGACAAATAAAAGAACTAAGGCTCAGACACATTGTTTAGCTCAAAGCATTAGCCATTAAGTGACAGAGAGGGCATTAGAAGAGATGACTGACCCCTGTAACGTACATCTTTCAGTGCTTCCTGCTAAAAATTATGCATGTAACAAAATATGCTTCGTGTTAGATTTTACAGTTAGCATAATCTTTTATGACATCCAAAGCCTACAACGGCTGGTCTCATATCTGCCCAAGAGAGCCCTCATCTATCATTGTGAAACAAAAATATGCAAAAACTAGTAAATAAAGTATTCATTCTAAATAGAATGCTAATAATCAGAAACTACTTCTTTTCAAAATAAATCATTTATAAAAGGACAATACAATGTAGAGGGAAAGACTACTGAATGCTAAATATTGTTTTGACGGTGACCTTGAGTCAGGGACACATTTTAATCATATATTCTACACTCATCCATGTATATAAATATGTGCACACACACACACACACACACGCGCGCGCGCGCGCACGCACCTAAACTTATCATTACTATGTACAATGCAGGCTGACATTTTCTATTCTAAATTTCATCAAAACAAAGTCAAAATCCATTAGAATGATTTCACCATCACTAATGGGTCACAACCCTTTCCAAACACAGCACTAAACCAATAGCCTAGAAGATCTAAAAGTTACCTATATGTCTAAGATTCTCTGACAAAAAGAGAGAGAAAGAGATTTTTTTAAAAAGCTTGTATGTTTTTTTAAAGGAAACTTTCCTAAAAGGTTGTCTATTTTCATAAAGATCAAGAATCCTAATAAGCCTTTTCAATGAGTTCAAGAGAGATTTAATTTCATTCACCACAGCTTTCGCATGAAGGATCTTTAAGAGTATTATTTTTAAAACATTAACATCCACAGATAAGAAGTAGGCACTCTCAAACACTGCTGGCAGGAACGTAAACTGATTTAACCCTTCTGGTGAGTAACATGACTCTGAACCAAAGTCTTTAAACATCATACCTTTAAACCTGACACTGCAGACATTTCTAGAATTTTATCCAAAGGTAATAAAGCAAAGATTAAGCTAAAAGAATGATTACAGCAGTGTATTTTATAACAGCTAAAAGCTGGGGGAAAACTTATGTACATAACAGGGCCCATGCAAACAACTGAATATTATTTTGCCATTAGGGATGGTGATTTAGACAAATACTGACATTACAGACAAGGAACAAATTTACAATAAAGGGGGGGGGGGAAAGCATTTTAAAAACATATACAGTTCTCAACCATAATTTTAGAAAGCCTGAAAGAATATCTACAAGGGAATGAATAATGATGAATCATGAGTAGGAGTTTATTTTCTTTTGGCTTATCTACTTATTCTAATTTCCTAATAATGATCTTATATTGTCTTGTAATAAAAAAGAGAACTACTGTATATATTAGCTCTTAGGAGTTAGTAATTTAAAAAAATGACTCAGCAAATAAATCTGTTGCTAACTTTCCTGACATAGAAATACTCTTACCTTATATTTTAGGGGTGAATATTTTACTGCAAGGTTAAATCATCATTAGGGTAGTGTTTCTTATTATGCATAAATCTTACAGTATCACATGGTAATAATTTTTTTCATGTTACAATAAATGAAAAGAATTTGGAAAAGAGCAGTAAAATCTATAGAGCTGACTGCCAAGGTTGTCAAAAGTAATTCACTTTGAAGAGACAAACACATTTGAGGTTTCACTGCTTGTGCTGCTTAAAAAGCAGATAAGATTTTTCCATTGATTTATAATTGTGGATCATAACAAGGGCAGTTGTTCTTACATTCCCAAAAAGGGGCGGGAGGAGGGCCTGGAAGAAGTAACACCACAGTTTCCTTTCTACCACAGCCAATGAGAGAAACACGATGGGTGACCATTATTCCATTTCTCAACCAAAGAAATCTTGTTCCTGGGCACTTTAAAGTAATATGTAAAAGTTGTCCAATTTGTGAAATTTTACTGTGTTCTAACATTCATCTAGTAAATATGCCAGAGAGGGAAAACATACTATGGATGTCTTGGATTTTACCACATACCTCTCTAAACAGAATGTGAAGACAAACACACATATCAAAAATACAAAAGAAAAAAAAAGCGTTAACCACTTAAGTTGTTCTCTGATACACCTATTCCCCTGAGACTATCCATTCCAGCTACAGTTGCCCAGGTCCTATTTTATGTGCCGCTCTTATGTGGAAAAACAAAAGCATAGGTGGGATGCAGCTAAAGCAATGTGCAGAGGAAAATGTATAGCTTAGAAAAGAAAAAGAATGAAATAAATTGAACAAAAGATGTGCAAAGCTGCTTTTGCAAAGCAAAGGGAAGCAAAGCAAAGCAAAAGTGCAATACTGCTAGGAGGCTGAAGAAGACCTAAATAGTAGAGAGTTCTACCATGTTTATGGGTTGTAAGACTCAACATTTGTTAAGGTGGAAATTCTCCCCCAGAATGATCTTACAATTCAATGCAGTGCTAACTATAATCCCGGTTGTCCTTTTCATAGACTTTGACAATTCAAAACTGAATATGAAAACCTAAAGAATCTAGAATAGTCAAAGCAATTTTTTTTTTAAGTTGGAATATTTATTACACACTATGGTATTGGCGAAAGGACAGCCACATAAATCATGGACTTAGAACAGAGTCCAGAAATAGACCTACAAATAAATGGTCAATTGACTTTTGGACAAAGACGCTAAAGCAAATCTATGAGAAACGGAAATTCTTTTAATCAGATAGTGCTGGAACAACTAGACAGCTATATAAAAAGACCAGTGACTTTCTTATCTCACACCACACACACAAATTAAATGATCAAAGACGGAAATGTAAAAGCTAAAAATACAAAACTTTTGAAACTATGCCGGTCCAAACAGGAATCACTACCTATGTGTAACTATTTGAATGTAATGTTAAATAAAGTATGATTAAATACAATTAAACATTCAATTAAATTCAATTAAAATTTAATTTAAAACTTAGTTCCTGAGTCACACTGGCCACATTTCAAGAGCTCAATAGCCACAAGTGGCTATTGCCTACCACAGTGGACAGTGCACTTCAGAAAATGTCAACTGATGCAAGCCAGTCTTTGCTAAGGCTGGGATGGGGTCAGGCTTTGACTACAAAGGTGGCACAAGGGAACTTTTGAGGGTGACAGAAATATTCTTATCTTGATTGTGGAGGTATTTTCAGGTATACATTTGTAAAAACTCATCAAACGGTACACTTTAAACGAGTGCAAGTTTTGCACAAATCCTATCTCCGTAAAACTGGCTTAAAAAACAACAGGGGCAGGGGCAGAGGGAGACACGTACAACTAGGTGACCTGTCTACCTAGGGAACGTATCTAGTACCTGACCGTGTCAGTTTAGATGATTTACTCCAATTTTTCACTGACTTATTATCTTTATGCTTGCTGAAGGTGACTGCAGGAATACCCTAAAACTGTATTTATCTACTTAAGGGTAAATTCTTGTGTGGCCTCGGAGAAAAAACACAAATATGTCATTTTGGCCATGGGTGTCACTTGCCCAACAAACATCAATGAGCGCTTACAATATACCGGGGACTCCAATGAACCCTGGAGCTCCGCAACACAAGGAGGCCCACGGCCTTGTGAGTGGGACAGGCGTGCAAACCATTTCAATATCAAATAATAAATTAAGCATGAAATGAAAGGGCAGAGGGGGAGTGGGGCTGTCTAGAAGCCATAATAACACAAGCAAGGGGAGGGAGATGGTGGAGGTCTGCACTACTGTAGTGTAATTAGAGACATTAAACAGAGTTCAGTCTGGCTGCAGCTAGGGTTTTGGAAGGGAGTAACAGGAGACGGGAGCATGGGGAGCATAGTGAGGACACAAGGTAACAGCCAGATGCTCAAACTCCTGTCAGCTAATGTGAAGTAGTTGAACCATGATCCCGTGAACGGCAGGAAACCAGTAAGGCAGAGGACAGCAGAGGCAGGGCTTAAGATGATCCTAACTGACAGCAGAATGGAGAGCGGGCTGAAGAGGGAGAGGAAAGACCAGGAGGGAAACCAGTTTTCATCTAGGTCCATTTCTCCTTCCCTGTATCTTCCTTAGGATTTTGGGGAAGGGCGGTTGAAGCGCGGAGGAGCAATCACTCAAGAGATCCTTGCCTTCTTCCTCTGTAATCCCCCATTGTATCTATTTTAAGGCTCCATTCAAAAAAATGTAATAATTCTGCCATACAGTTTTTTCAACTTTGGAAGAATCCATCCAGAGAGAAGGTGGCAAGGCAGATAGATGGTCACCATCATGAGAAATAATATGAACGCACTTGGGACCAGGAACAGTAACTATGTATGTGGCTTACAGGTTGTTACTGCTCACCTCCCACATCCAGGCAGACACTGCCAACCCATCACAGCATTATCCCTTGGGGTCACAAAGTCCCAGAATCCTTCCAAAGGCAGCACTCCAGCCAGGCACTACTGATCAAACTCAGCCAGGATGAAGAAAAAGCTTATTTGCCATTCCTGCAGTCCCTTGGTTTATCACTAATCGATGGCACAGGGGCAAGACTGGAGGACAGCAAACTTTCTTAAAGAGCTGTCTAATAAATATTTTAGATGTCACAAGCCATATGGTCTTTGTGGCATCTAGTCAACTCTTCCAATGAAGTATGAAAACAGCCACAGACAATACGTAAACAACTGAGCGTGGCTATTATAATAAAATTTCATTCATGGACACTAGAACTTGAATTTCATATAATTTTCGTGTGTCATGAAATAGTACTCTTCTTCTAATTTTTTTCAATTATTTAAAAGTGTAAAAAACTATTCTTAGCTTGCTGTAGCAGGGGAATAAAATCAGGCGGTGGAACAAATCTGGACTCTGCCTATAGTCCGCTGACTCTTGGGTAAGACAAACTTCCTGGACATCTGTGTTTTGGGCCTTAGAGTCTTAAGTAAGAAGTATTAGAAATGATGGTAACTTGGTGATCTAAGGGCCCTTTTTTTTTTTTTCTCCCCACAATTCTGCATCTAAACTCTCTTTACACTTTTAACATTTAATGAGCAGAAAACATACAATGATAAAGAGCCACTAAGTAGTAAGTAATATTTTAAAATAAGTATGAATTTTATTTATTAATCAGTCTTTACATACATATATACACAGTAATACAAGTAGGTACAAACCAATTTATTCAATCTGTAAAGTTTAACGTGCACAGGATTTACTGGCCCCCTTGCAAAATATTCAGAGTTGGAAATACTGCTCCAGATGAACAGGGTCATCAGGTCCCAGGACACAGCCAAGTAAGGCTTCTCATCCTCTAGACTGGACACCCTTAGTAATCAAAACATGCCATCATCAATGGTTACAATGGATCTAACTCTTCCTGTAACCAGAGCAAAGGACTTTGCCTCCAGGGTACCTGTTGTATCTAGTGGACGAAGAATGGGTTCTAGGGGCTCACTCAACAAACACCTTTCTTTCATTCCTCTTCTAGGGGACAGTGATGGTGGGTAGATTATACCAGGGACAGAGGGGGAAGTTTGAGTGTTTGGCTGATGTTGTTTTTTTTTTTTTTTTAAATAAAAGAACTGAAAAACAGGAAAGAGAAAAAGGAGATTCCTGCACCCCAAAACAGAATCTGAAGGACCTTGCCTGTGTTAAACTGACAGGAAATCATTTAGGAAATCAGTTTCTAAAAACAGGAATCACACTGTCTGCCCATGTGAAAACCCACAATATGTAGGACTCTGATTTAGACCTTATTTTAATGTGACCATAAAGATCTAGCCTTACATGAGAACTGCAAAGTTGACACAGCTAAAAAACACTAATCACTTTGGTTCCTGTCGATGGGGAGCCCAAATCACAAAATTCCCCCAAAGGGAAGATGAATTCAATTAGCAAGATTAAACTCACCTGAAACGGGTAAAGTGCAGACTGTTATCTGGAGATGTAAGTGTATGTTCTGGAGGGAGAACGGGTCTCATTCTGGGCACTGGGAGGCACATTTAAGAAATCCCAAATCAAAATAGTGTCATCATGGGAGCTGCTGATGATCTGAAATTCATCAAACTGTAGCCGAAACACACGTCCAGAATGTTCCTGTGAAATGTGACAGCTTGATGAGTAAAATGAGACCTTTACAATCCCTCATTTCTACCCGTGCTCTGGCGCAGGCGGAAAATGCAGCTACTCCAGGCTTACTGAATGTTCCAGAGCTTACTGATCTTTGTCCTTCACCCCAGGGACAAAATTCTGGCTTTTCCTTCTAGGCCTCTTCTTTAAATTAATCTTTGTATCTGAGATCCTGGCTCATTAATGTGTCAAAGAAGAAAAATTATGTGATCGCCTCACCAAAGATCTTGGAAAGGTGAACAACAATATTTAATACCCATTCTTGATACACTGCAAAAAGGACCAGAAGGATAGTGTTTTTAACATTACCATGAATATCTATTTCAACCACAGCCAAACTCAAAACTAATGGTGGAATGTAAGAAGCATTCTCATTAAAATCACGAAGAAAACAAGAATGGCCCTCACCATAGTTCTGCATGTTCTAATCGATGCAAGAAGCAAAGAAATAGAATAAAAGGTAAAGCTACGAAAAATACGAAAAATCTATCAATATTTTCAAAAAACTGTCTCCTCATTAATATAACAAAAGCAACCAGACTACTAGAAATAATGAGCCTGCTAAAGATGTTAAAACAAGATTTACATAAAGTATTTTTAAATGCCAAAGCAATAATTCACACAATATAGACTGAGGAGAAATTCCATCTTAATAATACAGAAATGTGCTGTATTATAAAAATTCAACGTAACCAGATACCCGTATTAAGAACTCTCCCAAGGGGCACCTGGGTAGCTCAGTCGGTTAAGTGTCCGACTTCGGCTTAGGTCATGATCTCACAGTTCGTGGGTTTGAGCCCCGCATCGGGCTCTGTGCTGACAGCTCGGAGCCTGCAGCCTGCTTGGAATTCTGAGTCTCCCTCTCTCTCTGCCTCTCCCCCACTCATGCTCTCTCCCCATCTCTCAAAAATGAATAAACATCTAAATAAATAAATAAAAATAAACAAACAAACAAACAAACAAATAAATAAATAAATAAAAGAACTCTTCCAAATCTACAGGAAGGAAATACTTTGAGCTCTACGAGGAAACCAATCCACCTACAAATGAGGATGTCTGCTTTCATGTTTTAAGTTGTATTAATGTTCCTTAGGGAAGAGCTCACTGTAACGTCAATGTCAATTACTCTCTGATTTGGGCTAACCAAAATGAACAAAACAGTGCATTTCTCTGAAGGCACGCTGTGAGATACACAAGATTTCCTGTGACACAGCTGGGCAGGTCCATCTACAGGAGGCCACCCTCCAGCACGGGAACCACTCCCACTTCAACAGATTACCTACCACCAACGTGCGCAAACACAACGTGCTTGCTGGGGCTCGAGGGTCCAGAGCAGCTTGCAAGTCCCAAACTTTAATTTTCCTAGAAAAGAAGACTGCGATTAGTGGGAAAGTTAACATTTTATATATTGTCGAGCACTTCCTTGATAGAAAGGAGTGCACATGAACTGCTAGTATAAAAGCTAGTGGAGGGGTGCCTGGGTGGCTCCACTGGTTGAGTATCTGACCCTTGATCTCGGCTCAGGGTGTGATCTTGCAGTTTGTGGGATCAAGCCCAGCAACGGGCTCTATGCTGACAGTGTGGCGCCTGCTCGGGATTCTCTCTCCCTCTCTCTCTGCCTCTCTCCACTTGTACTCTCAATCTCTCTCTCAAAATAAATTTTAAAAAATAATAATAAGCTAATGGAGAACATGCTTATGTTTTTACAAATTACTTAAACTAATTACATCTGATTTTGGAAAAAACAAGGACCTACACATTCTCAGGATTGCTGAAACTGTGAAGAAATATTTTTAAGGGAGATAAGAAAACAACTTCATGCTATCTGAATTCAGTTCCTGACTTGATAATCTATGTCACCAAATTCATTAATCGGGGGCTCTCTAGGGCTGAGTAGGTGCTGCTGACAGAAACTAGGGCTCTCTGGGAAATTCCAAGGATACCTTTCTTCAAACTAAGCAAATGCTGAAAGTTAATAATAGGAGCATAAACAGACCAACTAATCTGTGAGTATATACAAGGTCACCTTGAAAGGTTTACAGTTGCCACTTGCTCATTTAAAAAGTCACGAGGCTTTTTAAAGAGTATTTGTTCAATTAACCAAAAGGGGAAAGGAAATGTATCGCCGAACACACACACACACAGTTGGTTTAATTTAGGGCGAAGGCAAAGAACTGAATTCCCACACAACCTTTACAATAACGGTTAAAGGTGTAAGCACAGGAGTTACAGAGGCTCTGCTAGACTTGGGGCAAGACTGCTCATCCTTCTGGGCCAGAGTGGCCTCACTTGATCAAGTGGTACGGCAACACCTGCCATCCACCATTACACAGAAGGGACCGGGCACAGAACTGGCAGATACGTAGCTGCTTAATATTCAGCACTCCTTTTCCTCTAGATACCATGGCAGCAGTGCACTTAGAAATCTGAAATACATACCCATCATAGGCCCCACTGACAATCCTCTTGTTATCAAACCGGATGCATCGGACCAATTCTTCATGTCCCTCTAGGACTCTTAAACAGGCACCACATTCGATATCCCATAGCCTTGAATGTGAAACAGATCTCTGTGAAACAACTTCCCACACATGATTCACACTACCTGCCCCGTAACGTGACTTTCACTCTCTCCTGAACTTTGTTTCTATCTCGTTCCCAGTCTACACCGTACACAGAGAGAGATATGCATGTACATTTATACCATTTGTACATTTTAAAGCACTAATTTGGGTAGAAGCCTTACTTCTCATTGTATTTTCTTTTACTCAACTGGAAACCTTTTTTAATCACACGCATGTATTACTATTTAAATAAGATCAACAAACAACAAACTTCAATTATATTTAGTTCCTAGGCATTCTTTTGATGTCTGAATTGATTAAACCATGTAGCCAAATGGTCTAGGAAGGGCTTTTCCGGGGGAGATAGGGACTGCAGGCAGGAGAGAAGAAAAGGCATGATGTGTGTGGGCTGGGGGAGGATATAATACAGTCAGGAAGGTAGGCTTCCACCCCAGGCACTTCTAGCCTGGAATCCATGAGACCCACTGAAGTTAGAACCAGTGGACCAGTAATGGTCTTCCTCTCCTGATGAGGTTTAGGGACACCCCTCCTAGGTAACACTCCCGGACACGAGGGTTGTCCAGTTTACACAGTCACAGTGGGAGCCTCTCATTAAGTATATGAAGTGTCTCAGGAACATGAACCCACACACTATGCCCAGCCTTCTTCTCAGTGTATGATTTACAGAACAGTTCTGAAAATAAAAATTTTTTAATTTTTCTGTCATCATTGATTTTTCTACATTGTTTATAAACATAAATCATAGCAAACTAACGTGTACAAAACAAAGTCAGCAAACTCATTCTGTAACAACATTTTCTTAGCCCCTCTCCCAATAGCTCTTACCATATACCCAATGAATATTTTACCACAGCCACCCTCAGCAAATCTTCTCATCAGTGTCAGTGACGGTGGCTTCTCTAACCTACTGTGAGCAGAGCCATTCAGCACTGCCACTGACTCCAAAGTGGTTCCCCTCTATAAACTATAAAGGAATATACATTATTATTTTGTAAAATCTCACAGATTCCGGTGAGAATGGTAAGGACTATTTACTGATGAAATATTAAGTAATATAAAGCATGATGGATACAAGAGAACCAAGATTCAGGGTCAACTGACTTTAATAATATCTTAAAACTTAAAAGGATAAAGAAAACTTGCAGCAGTTTCAGCTTTATTGCTGTTTTGTTCCCTCCTTCCTTCTTTCTTTTAAAAATCATCTTGAAGCCAATCTTTATTTTGCCCAAACATTAAACAATTTGATTAAAAAGAAAAAAAGCTACCAGCATATGTTGGGACAATGGAAAAACGACTTGGGATCAGTGAGTAGATATTTAAGGGAAATTCTTAACAAATACAGTGTTTATGGATAGTCAGATTTATTAGAAAGCAAGGACACTGAGTGCTGGGAAAAAAAAAGGGAGATAAAATAAATGATGAAACAGGAGTGGATGATGTTGTAGTGTAGCCTCGGGTGAGACACAGATAAATCAAGTACACTCCTCCCACCTGTTAGTGAGGGAGACAGGAGCTCACAGATAAGGGAAAGTAGAGAGTCAGGCTGGAGCGTCCTCTCTTCTGAGGAGTTCTGGTATGAAGGGATCTTGGGTGGAGTTTATGTCATAAAACGTGTGTATTGGAGGAGTCAGTTTACCCACTTCAGTTCACAGGACCAAATGGACTAATAAAAGTTACCTATAGTTTTCTTACTTGAAGTATCTCCAAAGGCTCCAAGTCTTTTGAGCATCAGGACTGGGGCAGGAGTCAAAACTATAGCAAAAATCAGCCTACTCTGTCAGCACACCAGCTTCTACTCACCTTATGGTATTATCTGATGATCCACTAACAACCAGCCGATCCCTGTACTGGAGACAGGCAATGCCTCGCTTGTGCCCATTCAGAGTACGAACAAACTCACAGGTGCTCGTGCTCCAGACCTGCATAACCAATTAATAATACTTTAAGAATAAACGCCGAAAAGTCCCCTCACAATATACCTTTTTAAAAACATCAGAGCTTCTAAGAATGACCAAAATACTTGATTATGAAATCTGGCTCAGAAGCTGGGGGACCGACTGGCCAGCATACAGTTTTCTTAGCTGCAGAGTGATAAAACAGGAATGAAACACAGAGGGAAGCTGTGAAGTCTCCAACCTTGAGATATTCACAAAGAGAACATCTCCTGGATGGTTCAGACATTCACTTGCCTAGAGGGAAGAGTGTGGGCCAGATTTTATGTTTTCATGCCAGCTGACATGTCATATCCAATGTAACTGATGTGAAAAAGTTTCACCTTTCACATCCTCCTCTTTTCCAGCATAGTTTCTTGAACAGCTCCATTTGTTTTGACACATCACTCCTAATATTATGTATGTGGAATAAATAATCCCTCTTTTGTGAAACCATCTGCAAGACTTAGATGTTCACAGACACACTTAATATATTACAAGCCAAATAAGGAGACGCAAAGCAACCAGAGTGCCCTGAATTATTTTACCAGCTGCGTTTGTAGTTGAATGGGATAACTAGATCTCCACATGCAAAAGAATGAAGTCAGACCCCCAACTCACACAATATACAAAAATACAATTCAGAATAAACCAAAGGCCTAAATGTGAGAGCTGAATCTATGAAACTCTCAGAAGAAAACACAGGAGTAAATCTTTGTGATCTTGGATTAGGCAATGGTTTCTCAGACAGGACAATAAATGCACAGGGAACAAAAGGCAAAAATTGATCAATTGCACTTCATCAAAATTAAAGTTGTCTGTGTGGCAAAGAACATCATCAAGACAGTGAAAAGAGAAGCCACAAGATGGAAGAAAATATTTCCAAATCATTCACCTCTTAAGGTACTTGTAACCAGAATATATAAAGAATTTTTGTAACTACACAGTAAAAAAACAAACAAACAAACAAAAAACACCCAAATAATCCCATTTTTTAAGTACATGAAAGATTTAAACAGATGTTTCTCCAAAGAAGATACAAAAAAGGCCAATAATCACTGAAAAGATGCTCAGTATCATTGGTCACAAGGGAAATGGAAACAAAAACCAGAGATAACCACTACACAACTACAAGGATGGCTGTAATAAAAAAGACGGACAATCACAAGTGCTGGCAAGGATACGGAGAAATCCTCCAGGCTGATATTATGCAACGGCTGCTCTGTAAAAAAGGCCCAAACCCTCCTGACTTCCAGGCAGTGATCTTGTTCCAACCGGTCTGACTGAATGGTAAGTGAGTTACTGCACACAAACCCTACTTGTTCAACTGCCAGACCACTTTATCTAAAGGTTGATGCTACCTCTGTGATGTGTGGGGCTAGATACTAGATACCAGAATGCCACCTAGTGCTGGTCATAAAAAGAAGGTTTTTTGATCCAGATTCAAATGCTCGCACAATGCTGGTGGGATTTTAACACAGCGTAGCCACTTTGGAAAACGTTTGGCAGCTCTTCAAAATATCGAACCCAGAGTTACAATTCCAAGAGAACTGAAAATGTATGTCTGTGCAAAAAGTTATACACAAATGTTCATGGCAGCACTATGTTTAACAAATGAAAGGTGCAAACAACCAAAATGCCCATCAACTGATGAACAGATAAACAGAGCGTGGTACATCCACACAATGGAATTTTCTTCAGTCGTCAGAATGAATAAAGTACTGACACGTGCTACAATATTCATGGATGAACCATGAAAACACCACATTAAGTGCAAGAAGCCAGACAGAAAAGACCACATATTATAGGATTACATTTATATGAAATGTCTAGAAGAGGCAAATCCATGGACAGAAAATAGATTAGTGATTGCTAAGGACCAGAAGAAGAGAACAGGGGTTGACTGTCAGTGGGTAGGAGGTTTTTTCAGGGGGCAATGAAAATGTTCTGAAACTAAACTATATTAAATGGCTAACACTGTAACTACATTAAGGGGCACTGGACTGCATGCTTTAAGTGGTGAAACTCACAGTATGTGAACTATATCTCAAAAGCTAACATTTTAAAAAGTTAAAATGGATACTGGGATCAGACCTGCATTTACTACATCCTATGACTCACCATAGACTACAACCATTTGTCTCATGCCTGCCACCCACCATACGCCGAGCTTCTTGAGGGCAGGGATGGGTCTTATTCATTATTGTATCTCCAGCATCCAGCCTAGGGTCTATGGCCAGGCATAGATCATTAAGTGGATTAATTCAAATGAAGTGAATTAAGTGAATAAATCAAATCTCAGCTCCGCCACTAACTAGCTGTGTGGTCTCCAGCCCAGTTCTTCACTCTCTGAGCCCCATTTGTAAAATTGAGGCAATACCTTCCTCAACAGAGTACTGGAAGAGATCAGTGACAGGGTAAGGTGAAGCTCCTAGCACACAGTACATGTTCCACAGGTTAGTTCTCTTCCCCTTAAACACGCGATCAATGGTGTTATTTCATGAAATAGAAGGCTGCTCTCCATCGTGGACCCATGACCCTTTCCTCCTACCTTGCCTGTGATTCCAGAAGCATGAAGAATGCGATTGCCTCAAGGGTTCAAGCACAGATGAGGGAGATTACAGATCTTGCCCAGTACCAGGTTAGTAAAGCCCACCTCTGCTTCCTCTGTGTTTGAAAAGGCACAGGAGGAAGCAGAGTTATGACTAGTAGATACACTTACTTTGATGGTTCTGTCACCAGAGGCAGACACGATGTATTTATCATCAAAGTCTACCACATTGACAGCAGCACGGTGGCCAACCAGGACACGGCGTAGAGTGATATCGGTAGCAGAAGCCATGTCCCACACAGCGATGGAGCGATCCTTGGAACAGGTCACCATAAGTCCATTGCTGAAGCGTAAGTGCAGTACAGCCTCATTGTGGTGGATCAATGTGTTCAGAACTTCACCCGTGTTCACATCCCAGACTCTAGAGAACAGAAAAGTACAATGCATGATTACTGAGACAACCAGAAGAGTCAGTGTCTGTGCCCTGGGCCCATTCTTAGTAGTAGGCTAGGGAGATGTAAGCTTCACTTGTGACTGGGACCTCACACCCAAGACCATGTTTAAAAGGAGCCCCCAGAAGCAATTATTGTATTTGCTGAGAAGTACTGAGAGGGTTTCAAAAAAAGAAGGCCAATTATGGAGGGGCCTGGGTAGCTGCTCAGTCAGTTAAGTGTCTGACTGTTTATTTCAGCTCAGGTCATGATCTCACAGTTCATGTGTTTGAGCCCCACATCGGGCTCTGCACTGACAGTGCGGAGCCTGCTTGGGATTCTCTCTCTCCCCTTCTCTTTCTGCCCCTCCCCCACTCATGCTCTCTTGATCTCTCAAAATAAATAAATAAACTTAAAAAAAAAAAAAGGAAGAAAGAAGGCCAACTCTGGCTCTGTCCAGGTTTAGGTTTATTTAACATCAGGTAATCAGGGACAGTGAGGACAACAAAATGATTCTTCAAGTAAGTGGGCTCGCAGGGAGTCTGAGATGACAGGGGAAGGAGGCTTCATAGCTGGGGAACTGAGGGCAGTTTCCAAGCTTAAGGCTCTTTTTGGCCTCTGATAGGTCTCAGAGTCCATTACTTACCATTGCACACTAGAGACTGTAAGTCATGACAACTCATCAATTCCCACATGCATCTATTTACCCAACTGCTTTATGGACAAAGGCAATATGGCAGCTGCTCCATCCATGACATATAAGGTTCTCAGGGGCAGCCCTTTCATGTCACAGCTTTTCTGTAAACCCAATCTCCTAAGAGGACAAATTCACACAGACCAAAGGAGGAAAGTCACAGGCTTCTGTGCAGAAGCAGTGCCTGAAAAGCACTGAGTCAGAGAAAGGACACTAGCATGCTGGTGACTTTTCCAAATGTCTGGAGCATGGTCTCCCAGGAGAAAGCTAGTCTAACACTAGGTAATATTTCCTAGTACATTTCCATCTCTATAACATACAACAACGAGCATAGGACCTACTTAACAAAAGGTGGCTTTCTAGCCTGCTTTGTTCAAATAAACCCACACCTGAAGTGGTTTTGAAATACAGCATATAAAACATATACAAAGAATGTGTGTCCTTATCCCCGAAAAGGGTGCAGTCTCAGTCTTCTCAGACCAGCGAAGCCAAATCACTCACCTCACTGTAGAGTCTGAAGAACCAGTCACAATGACACGTTCATCATACTGGAGACAAAGGACAGAGCCAGTGTGTCCCGTTAACACTTTCAAACATTCCAAGCTGGTTTTATCCCAAATCTATGGAGACAAGATCAACCACAAACAGTGATTTAGTATATCACCTTCTGATAAATGTTTCTGTCTCACCTTACTTTCTGAATCACAAAATAGAACAAACCTGCATTACAGTAAATAAGAGCAGTTAAACTTCAAACAGGTGGAAAATGACCAAAAAAAGGGACGAGGCAATATCGAATAACTTCCAAAACAGATGTGCTATTTTGTTTACTTTGTCCCTCTGACTATTATACTTACTATATTTAACAGCCTTATAAAGGGAATTTTTAAATAAACGCTGAAACACAGTGTGACAACATTAAGAGCCTTTAAAAATGCATATCTCTAACCCATTATGATTACTTACAAAAATTTTAAAACGAAAAATGTTCGACATTTCAGAAAAATTTCAAAGTAAACTGAAAAGCTTTTAATGAGAGAATATAATGCTTCGTTACAGTTATGTTTTTTAAAAATAGAATAAAAGCCATCTATATGGTGATATAATCAATATATTTAAAACAAAAAAAAAGATGAAAAGGAAAGATAATGTTAATAATAGTCGGCTTTGTTCTCTGAGTGTTCTTTTTCTCCCTTCTTTTGATCTTTCCAATGTTTTTCAAGTTTTCAATACTCCCCACATATAATTGGGGATAGGAAATCATTTAAAGATTGGATTGTTAAAAATAGATCGTGTGAACCTGTTTCTTCCTTTGTAAAATCATACTGTCATAATTTGCAGCATCCCTCAAGTTTACTACAAATAGCCAAAACAAGACATTTAACTGTCTTTCTACAACAGCAAGACCTGCTTCTAATTTCTGACCTATTAGAACCACGGTTATCTTGAAAGAGTGATTGGTGATCCAGGACTGGTACAGAATGAAGGACAAAAGGTTTCCAACCACTGTTCTAGATGATCTCTCTAAAGTGCATCTCTGCTCTACTGTTTATGTCTCGTAAATAAAATGCATGCCTATTTTAAACATAGTGTGCCTCTATTAATGGCACTCTTTTAGAAACACATCCGATGTAAATGAAACGCAAGCCTGTGGTTAGCCTATGCTCTGACAAGGTCCTTATAAACCATTCTTTTTTTTTTTTTCTTTTTAAGGTGTATTTATTTATTTTGAGAGAGAGAGAGAGAGAGAGAGAGTGCACCCATGCGGGGGAAGGGCAGACAGAGAAGGGAAGGGGGGGGGTGGGGAGTCCCACGCAGGCTCCACATTGTTGGGTCGAAGCCTGATGCAGGGCTTGAACCCACGAACCATGTGATCATGAGCTGGATGCTTAACCAACTGAGCCACCCAGGCACCTCCCTTATAAAACATTCTCACTATTCCTTAAAGGATAACTGCCCAAATTAAATAGTAACATATGTCACTCTTGCCAGAGTATATTTATGGCTGCAGGTTATCAGGGCTACTGATTGATAAGTATCACATAAAAATAGGGTTCTGAGGTCAAATATATTTTGGAAGTGGGGAAACACTGGGTATCTCTCTCCTGCAGACCTCAGAGTCTTTATGTGCTACTCTATCCTGTGAATTTCTAAGGAGATACAGCATGCCATCAGCTTGAGGACAGACTAAAAGAAATTATTCAGAAAAGAGTGGGGGGCAGGGGGGAAGCCTGGAGAAAATGTAAGACAATAACAAAAGATCTACTATTTATGTAATTAGAGTCTCAGAAGGAGAAAAAAAGAAAAGGGGGCAGAAAAAATATTTGAAAAAATAATGGCCAAAGACTTTTGAAATCTGGTGAATGAAAGACATAAATTTACAGATCCAAAAGCTCAGTGACTAGCCTGGGTGACTCAGTCAGTTAAGCTTCCTACTTCGGCTCAGGTCATGATCTCACAGTTCGTGGGTTTGAGCCCCGTGTCGGGCTCTGTGCTGACAGCTCAGAGCCTGAAGCCTGCTTTGGATTCTGTGTCTCCCTCTTTCTCTCTGCCCCTCCCCTGCTCGCTCACTCTCTCTCTCTCAAAATAAACATTAAAAAAAAAAATTAAAAAAAAAAAAAAGATTTGGATACTTCACCACCAAATATACAGATGGCAAATAAGCACATGAAAAGATCATGTGATCATCAGTCATTGGGGAAATGTAAATTAACTCAAAATGACATATGTCTACATACTTATTAGAATGGCAAATATCAACCTGAGAATACCAAGGGCTGACAAGGTTGCATAACAAAGGGAACTCTCATACCTTATTGATAGGAACATAAAATAGTACAGCCACTTTGAAAACCAGCTTGGCCATTTCTTAGCAAGAAATACAGATACTTACCATATGGGTCAACAATCCCACTCCTATGTTTTTACTCAAGCGAACTGAAAATGTATGTTCTCATAAAAACTTGCATACATGTTTATAGTGGCTTTATTCATAATTGTGAAAACTGGAAACACAAATGTCCTTCAACAGGTAGACGGATGAACACTCTGGGATGCACCAGAAAGTAGACTGCTACTCAGCAAGAAAAGGGAATCAACTACTGCTAAGTGTAACAAAGGAGATAATCTCATCTAAGATGCTAAGTATAAGAAGCCAAACTCAAAAAGCTACATACTGTGTGAGTCCATTTATAGACTGTTCTCTAAAAAGCAAAATTATAAGGATAGGGAAAAAAAGACTGAGAAAAAAAAAGGTTGGGGCACCTGGGTGGCTCAGCTGGTCAAGCATCCAACTCCTGGTTTCAGCTCAGGTCATGATCTCACAGGTTCGTGAGTTCAAGCCCCAAGGAGGGTTCTGCACTGACAGCACGGAGTCTGGAGCCTGCCTGGGATTCTCAGTCTCCCACTCTCTCTGCCCCTCCCCCCCATTCCACATGAGCACACGTGCTCACTTGCACTCACGTGTGCTCTCTCAAAAATAAACTTTAAAAAAAAATTAAAAAGTAAATAAATAAATTTAAAAAGCCCAGTGCCTAAGGGGAAGAACTGAACACAAAGGGGCTGAATAAGGGAACTTCTGGGGATGATGGAACTGTTCTATATCTTGATTTTTGTTACGGTTACACAATTCTTTGTGCTTGTCAAAACTCATAAAACTTTACAACAAGAAGAGTGAATTTTCCTGTATGTAACTTGTAACTTTAAAAAAAATGGCAAAAAAAAAAAAAAAATCCTGCTATGTTTTCTTAAATACGAGAAAATAAGCTATAAACAATGTAAAACAAAATCTGTCAGATCAGCTGCCGAACATTAAAAACACAGAAATGATCCAGCTTATCTACTTTTGAAGAGTGAATTAAAACATATAAATATAAATTGCTCTATCATTCTTTTGTGTTATCACTTGAGCCTTTGTCAGCACCCATAAAAGGCAATGACTTTGATTTACAGGCAAGGCAGCAATGCCTCCACCAGCTAGCAAAGTCAGCAAGAGTCCTGTGATACTGAGATATTTTCCATGCGCACCTAAACACAGAACACAGAATGCACATGTGCTTAGAGAAGGATAAGAAGTGAGACAATCCAGGGGTCTTGTGTTAGTCTAGGGAAACACTCTGCGGTTCCTGAGAACCACACTGAGAGCTGCCAAGATGGAAGGGCACTGATGAAAACAATCTGGAATAAATGGAGAGATTCAGTGATCTAGTATCTAACACAACCACAATTCTAAGAAGAACACATACAAAATACAGTCATTCACCTTAATAGAATTATCTCGTAGGCCACTGATAATTTTTTCATCATCATACTGTAAACAGTAGACACCTTTACTATTTTCAGAGCGGCACTGAATCCTCTGCAAGTTGTGTCGTCCACACCGCCAGTTAGATTCTATAGTCTGGGGGGAAAAGGAGGCAACAGATGAGTTTTTGTGAATCAACTATTCTATTAGGCTTCCGACTCTAGTGTTGCTTCCAGGAACAGCATACCAGATACCCCATCTTGGTTTGCATAACTGTCTGTGGATAGGAATCATGCTCTTTCCAAGTAAGACATTAGCCCAACAGTGTTTTTTGTCAAACGCTCCCTATCTGGCAACCACCATAGGATTTCCAATGAGTTTGAGTTGGGTTTGAAAAAAAATAGCCTAGACAGAACTCAATATGCTTAAAGAATGCCATTTGCACCCAAAATATACAAATACGTAGTAACTCACTGGGTCACTCTCTAATGCCAATTAAAATATTTGGCAGAAGACCACCACCAACATTAAGCATATACTGACAATCTATGTATCCATCCAAGGCATTGTCTTAATCACTGAGAAAAGACATCGAACAATTACTACCTGTCAACTACTACAGAAAGAATTTTATTTGTTATCCATTTTTAATCATCTACTAGACTGAAAGGTCTTTTAGAATAAGAATGGCACACCTGGGCCCTGGATAACATTCTTCCATCATTCATGCAACATTTACTGAGATGCTACTTTTTTCCATATACTGACTGTGCTAGGTGCCAGGGATTAAAAGAACAGGAAGCACACTGTTCAAGGGAGCTACCACTACAGGCACACAGGTATCTAGGCACACAGTACCTGGAACTAGATATACTCAAAAGATGTTTATCTGGTTAAATGATCCACACACTAACCTTGGAAGGAAGTTCTTATTACTTCCCTTTTAAAAACAAGGGAAGAGTTTAATTTCCTGAGGCCACAAAACTAAGTAACTAGACTAAATGGAAATTATACCCGGTTCTTCCTGACAACGAGTCCATGCTTTTCCACTAAAATATGCAGTGTCTGTAAAGAAGTATAGTCCTAGCTATTGAGGCAGTGAACACAGAACATAAGATCGGTAACAATTTCAGATAAAATATGAGTGCCAAATGAGTGATTAAAACTATAAGTTCTGCAGGACACTTACAGGAGAAAAAGAGAACCAAGGCCTCAGACCAGTGGGCAAAGTTTAATGAGAAAGTGGATCATGCCCAGGGCACTAGAAGACCTAAGCTTCGGTAGTAGATACGAGGCATTTTTAGGATCAAAGGGCACAATGTTTCTAAGAACAACCCGAGCGTCAACTCCAGATCCTTGAAATTAGGGGACGATGGGGACTAAAATAATTGGTTACACCTGAGTTCAGGATATAGCCTGGAAGATTATCTCTGAGTAGTTAATTATATGAGTAGCTGAAAGTTTAATTAGTTGCTCTGCTAAAGGAAGGTGATAAATCTCATCTTCATTCACAATATGCACTTAATTACTAGCTCTGCTGACATCTGACAAACTGTATCTCCTCTTATGTTGAAGGCAGTATGCTTCTGTATGCTCTAAACTGTTCAAATTTACTGAATGTTATGTGCCAGGTACTATGCTTTCATAACACTATGGTATGTGATTTAAATATTTTATAGCTAATTTAATCATCACAACTCTGAAGCCGAAATTACTGTCCTCCTTTTATAGAAAAAGAAATGGAAGGTTGGAGATAGTGATACACATATACCTAAAAAGAAAATGTTTCATCATTTGTGGCCTCCACACTTAGCACAGGAGCCTGGAAATATAATCCCTGCCCTCAAAGAGCTCCTATGTACAGCCTTGAGAGAGGGCAGGATTGCATATTTCTAACACCCGAGGGATGCAAGGAGGTGTCATGGAGATGCCAGGAGTGAGGAAACGCTCATCTGCCCATCTGCTACCAAGTCAGAGCTTCTGAGCCAGCATCATCATCTCCAGTAAGTTTGTGAAATGTCAGAAATAAAGAATATTCCAAAACCAAAATTAATAATAAGAATATTAATAATTCACCCCACCTCTGTTACTGCTACCAACGTAGATAACAGATCTGAGTATATAAGCGACTTTTAGAAAAGGGGTCCAGAAAAAGACTTAAACTGAACTCAATGCTTAGAATCATTTAGAGAGCTAATATATTTTTAGATAGTGACTGAGCCACCTCAGCATGCTAAGTATACCAGGAAAACGCTGACTTAGGAGACAGATGCACTGGTAACAAGTCTCATTCATGGCCAGTGACTCTTGGCAGTGGTTACCGATATTCAGGCTACACCCTACAGGGGCCCAGAGAGTTGCTGCAGAAGGCATGACTCCATATAAACCCGAAGTATTACAAAGTTGAATACGTAACATAACTTACATATGTACATATATATGCATATATGTGTGTGTGTGTATATATATGTGTGTGTGCATCTCGGGTGTTATTTTAAAAATTCATACAACTGCTTTCAGTTATAAAACATAAACATTTGCTTTAAAATATCATCAAATCAGTAAAGCAGCTTTGTTACTCTATATATTTCAATGCAAAGGAAAAGTATTTACTATCACATGGGAGACTGAAAAAAAAAAATAATAATGTAAAAAGAGAAAGCAGAAGAAGCCTCATACCAAAAAGAACTGCCTATATGCTCCCTCGAGTGGAAAATGTTTTCTAGAACTGGGCGACTTGATTACAATCTTTTACTATACCTAAAAACCTAAAGATACAGCAGAGAGGACCAAAGAGGAGTTGGGGTGAGGCAGCAGTCAGCCTGGGGGTACACCCATCCCCTGCAACGACTGGTCAGAGAACACCGCCTGATGTGACAGCCTGGGCCATACCCTCTGCCTGTGGCCCTCACATAAGAAATGGAGGCCAGGCCCTCTCCAAAGCTCTGTCAGATAACAGGCTCTTGTTCTAAGCTGAATGGAAGTTAAGAACTAGGAAATGGCTTAGCTTTTCAATATTCAGAAAAGAGCCTAGTTTTTCTAAAATACATTTCTGAATTTTAAATAAAAGGTCTGCCAGGTCATTCTTGATGGGTCGTTTTAGGGAGCTCCCGCTTAAGGCTGTGTTAAAAAAATTTTTTTAAGCTCCTGAATCACCACAGAAGTGGTTTGTTTCAAAATGCCAGGAAAGGGACACTAACCCAGAGCAGGGAACAGATGGTTTTGCTGCACACCAATCTCGTGTAACTCCTGAGACTCTACTCTTCTCAATTCCCTGGGCCACCCACAAAAGAAAGCAGCACGTCCTGCTGACTATGCCTGCCCAAAATACTACCTACCACCACATTCGACGACCTCAACTCTTACTAGAATGCTTATAAGCCAGGTCTTTAAAAAAATAAATAAATAAAAAATAAAATACTAGACCCTTAAAAATGGAAGGCAGCCCAGTGTGGTACAGAAAATACCTAGGTCAGTTAGCAGCTTTGGCAAATGAGGTGGGACTGTTTGTGCTGCAGTTTCCTCCTCTGTAAAAATGGGAAAAATAAGATCTACTTCCTTAAAACTCTTGTAAGGAGCAAATGAAATTACACATATAAAGTGCTCATCACAGTGCCTACAAACAACAGCAGCGATGCTCCTCCTCAGCTGCAGAGAACACAGACCCAAAGGAGTAGGCTGTGACCAACAAAATCTTCTCACCAAGATGTCAGGAACGGTTGTCTCGGTCTGGGCTGGTATCTAATGCTGCTAGCCTTGGGCCCTCCCTAACCATTCCTGGGAAGGGGCTCAGCCTTCCAGTGCATTTCAACTGTGACTCCAGCAGCAGGGATACAGGGCATACACAGGTGCACCTCTTTAATTATGCAGATACCTGCCATTACACTTAGACATCATGTGGTGTGGCTACTGTAGAGGAGTCCTTCGTGTTTTTGAGAACTTGTAAAATCCCCTTACCCTGTGCAAATTTTAAAAATACTGGGAAAGTAGCCATGATACACAGAGTATACAGCGGCATTTAAATTGGCAATAGAGTGAAAACAGATGTCTGAGTATGGAGGAATAACATTATTTTTAGAAGCCTAAACACAACTGGGTGGGTGGGCAAGTTTCAGCATTTTCTGGTCAGGACAATATTAATATCAAGTTTGCAAACCACAAAAAAGCTTCCCACTTTCCCTGAATAAAATGTGGTTTATTAAAAGGTGCGATACAACACACCATCATTTTACCAGTGGTCTATTCCAAGGAGAGTGCTTCAAAGGCTTTAATCCAGTGAATAAAAAGAGGGGAAATGCATATTACATGAAAGAGTTTACACTACTCTGAGATGGCAACAGAGAAAAATCCAAGTTCAGGACACAGAATTCTGATTAAGTCTATTGTAACAATTCCCACCTCTCTGCTAAGAGACGATTGGGGGCATGGTAGACCCCCAAAAGAGCATGAAAAGAGCATGAGCTTTGGACTAAGACTCTGTTTTGATTGTCTGAGAGTTAAATCAAATCACTGCAGCAAAGTACCTAATAGTAAGCTCACCATTAGCAGTGAGCAGAACAACTGAGGCTCTAGATAGCAGGGGAAATATGGCTGCATCTTTGAGGAATGTGCCTCAGGTTTTCCAGGAATTCCTTCTCAACTCAGAGGTACTCTAAACCACGCCCCCCCCCCCCCCCCCCCCCCCCCCCCGTGTGGCAAGAACACCCAAGAGAAATGAAGCTTTGCAGAAAGCTAAGAATTCTTATTTATTCTCCCTAGACTTCATCTCTCACATCTTCATTTCCTCAATAATGGGAGTTGGCCACACTAAGCTAGGTTTTCTATTTTTTTTCTTAAAAATTAGCTGATCTGTGATGGGTCAATGTAGAAGGGCAAGGTCATCTGCTCATCACAGTCAAATCTAGGAATGGACAGATGACACAAGACAGTACCTGAAACACAGCTGTCAAAGTAGAGCAAGAAAAGAAGAAGCTGTTGTGTACTGGCAACTTCGCCAAGTATATGGGAACTAAACAGAGACTCTGCAGGCATGGAGGGGCAACTGGGCAGGGGGCATAAGCACCCACTTGATGCTCGGGGTGTAATTTATCTTTGGCAATGTGCTTCTTAAAATTAAAACCCTTTAAAATACTACCTTTGCCGTAAGTAGACTATAACAAGGCCAATTAATCTTACCTTAACTCATGCCCTTTTTTTAAACTAGTAGTCAAGGATGCTGAGTACTCACACAACTGGGGAGAGATGAGATCACCTTGAAAAGTCCATAGGCATGTAACATCACACCTCTTTCTCCTTCACTTCCTAAGTTTTCCACTTTGAAAATGATAAACAACACACTAACCCCAAAGCTAAACAGACCTCAGTTCAATTCCCATCCCTTAGTCTCAGTTTTCCCTTGTTACAGATAGGGATAATATGTACCTTGTTTTAAGAATTAAATGCAATAATCTCTGTAAGTCATACAACATAGTTCATGGTATACTGCAAGAGCTCAACAGAGGGTACCTGTAATTATTCTCTTCTGCTATGAGAGTTTCATGCCAGCCATATGGTCAAGAATCAAGTCCTTGAGTCTCTATTTGTTTGATCCATAGGTCACTGACACAACTCTCTACATGTGTGTTCACCCTGGTCAGAATAAAACACACTCCCAAAACAGAGGTAAAGAACTCTATTCTGATGAGGCACCAGTGATCTCGAGTACAAAAAAGTTGTAGTAAGTGCAGAAGAATTGTAGGTTGATCACAGACTCTATTACTCACTGTGTGATCTGGGGCGAGCTATTTAATGTTGTTGAGTCTCCATTTCCTTAGCTCTGAGTAAGGACATGGCCTACCTTTCAGGTACTGTTCAGAATGCTAAATGGAAAAGTGTATCATAAGATGCTTAACAAAGTATCTAGTACAAGTAAACGGTCCTGTAGGCATGATACATTATTTTTTATTATTACTACTATTAGTGAATATGCCAAAGTATAAAACATCATCCCTTACACTAAGAGATCTAGCCCACAAAAATCTGGAGGAGACTCTTGTGGGCCACCAGTGGGTTTTCCCAAACCACACTTTAAGAACCACTGGGTAGACCACCATGATGTAGAGGTTCTGCATCAAATAGGGTTTTCCCCCATAGCTCTATTTCCCTCACATCTGCCTCCTCCACTAACTTTAAAATATTATTTTAGCCTGAGGAAATGGTTACGTAGGTAGTGTCACATATTATCATGCCACAGAGTACTGAGTTCATACTACTGATTATAACAGTACTCATGAGGATTAAATAATCTATGTCACCAAAATCTTCAACCTGATCAAAGTTCTTCCAGAGTTCCTATTTATTAATATTGACTTTAAACATCATCCTTCTCATAACAAAGGATTTGCTGAAATTAGTCAAGGAAATCTGGAGTTGCTTTGGAAAGAACAGTTGAAAAAAGAAGGAAAAAGTAATATAGTTTCTAATATGTATGCAAAGCAATAATTAGTACAACTATCTTGGGGTAAGAGACAGCTCCTCTCCCCTAAAACACACACACACCAACTCAAGATTCAAGTTAACAGTGTAGGAGCAATTTATTCTAAGTTTTGAACTTCCAGTGGATCAAGTAATTCCTAACCTTTGATTAGTCAGGCAGAAGTTTTAAATTATTTAGCCCTCTGTAAAAGATTGCTTTACAGCTCATTTTAGGAAGTAGATACTCAAAACAAGAGTTTGTGTTTTAAATATGATGTTCCAGTCACATTGAAATTTACCATTAACCTAATGATTCCATCAGTTTACATCTGCCTTAAAAGGGAAGGGGGTGGGGGAGAACTCCCCAAAAAGCACATGTTTCTCCATTAATGAATTTTGGCACAATAACTTTTATGTCTATCACCTGGGAGAGAGGATTACTTGACATTTGGGAAACTGAGTATAACTTTATGGGTGATACAGCACTGCCTAGCAAAGGCTAAACTTTTCGCCAAGGAGGAAATAGTGAAGTAACCAAGACCTGCCAAGAACACATGTGAAAGAGTTAATGAGAAATGTCTGTGCCTGTCTTTCCTGGTTCAAGGAAAAGGGCTAAATAATAAAACTGAACTAATTAGAACACATGAATAATATCAAACATCTCCAATGTTTCTCATCAAGTTTACAGAGTTTTACTGGTCTGGTGAAGTTACACTCAAATCCAAAATGGTCCAGGAGCATAATTTGCTGTATAAAACCCACTTAACTATTGCTTAGATTCATATTTGAGTCATTTTTATGAAAAAAATTATGGGAAATTTACAGAGGAAACTGAGCCTTGTGCCTTCTCTAATTCTCTAGAGATGGCTCAAAAATGTAAAACTGCTAACCTGAAAAACTGTGCCTGGGATTTTGGAAAATTCATCAAATTAGAATAAAAAGCTGACTTTGGACTCAGGTTTTAATTAACTGGCCAACTTTGCAGAAGCATTTCAGGTTTTAGAAAAGTCAGGTCAGTTTTTACAAACAGGCATTATCTACCCTGAAGTATGGCTGCAGTTTATACTGACTGTTGACATATTTGCTTCAAGAGTTCAACTTAAAAAAAAAATTACTAGCTCCATGTTTTTAGATCAACAAAACGCTCTAAGGCAACATAAAAAGTTGAGAACAAGACACAAAGAGCCCATAAAACAGATAAATCATAAAGTTACCTCTATGTCCTGGATAATCTTTGGGTATAATGACCTATAAAATGAATTGGGAGGGCCATCTGTAGGTCTGTTCTTAAACAGGTACTGATCCCTGGCAAATGGAAACAAACAAATGTTATAACCTTGCACATAAAAAGGTGAATTTTATTTAAACGTGGTGCTGACAAAGACAGTGTACCCTTCGAGTGTTTTGATTTTAACAGTTCAAAAGTAGGATTTCTGACCATTACATTTACACTTTAGACACAAATGTACTTTAACTTCCAGCTCTCTAGCACAATCCTGGCCTTTTATTTTCTGAATACCCAACGCATATTAATCCAGCCTTTCATTCTACAATTTAATAAAAAACGCTAAGGCAGCTTTGTGAAAAACCTTACTTGGGACACATCAAACTTCCTCCCATAAGGAAAACAACAGCCCTATCCCTCACTCACACCATAACCTGTACAAGCTGGAACTCTCTTTCTGTGCTAAGTGGGTCAGGTTATGGACACGTATAAAGGTATAAAACTGTATTAAGTTAATGGGTCGGCTGAAAATTCCTGCCCGCCTTGCCTCCCATATCTTCAGTCAGAGCAATGACCAAAAACAAAATGTTATTGACTTTCTCATATTTTCTTTTTTCTTATCTATCTTTTGGTAATAGTATCATCACCTAAGAAAAATGTGAAAGGAAAACGAAAACGTAAACTCATAGATTTGAAAAGCCAAATCACTCAAACTATATAATACTTCCTAACAGTTAATACTTGTAAAGGAAATATGCATTGCAGAAGGAATTACTCTAACAGCTTTAACTCCCCCTCCCCCACGTGCCACTTGTGACCACTCCTCTTTCCCACTTTAAAATAGGCCAACACATCTGGCAAGTCAAACTGCTTGTTTGAATAACCAAACTGACCCTATGTCCAAGAAACTTTTTTCAGGGGAACAAGCAACCCAGGAACTTACCACCCTCTTCTTTCTGAAAGTCCCTTCCACAGAGGGTCAGTGCGCACCATTCTTTCAATCAGCTTCTTCCAAAGCATTCCTTCCGAGATCACTCGCTGCCATTCTTTACATACCAGCTCTGCTGCACACAGAGACCTGGCATCCAGGTAAGAAAGAATGTTTTCTGCTATGTGATCTAAGCCTTGCTCTACAAAATAGAAAAGGCAATGAAGGAATGGGAAGGGAAATGGAAATGTACCAGTCACCATTTCTGTAAAGGTAAGAGGAATAAAGAAATCCTGAACCAGGTAACATACCTGACTAATATCAAAAGTTCAGATATACAAGTGCATGAGTACATAAACACATACACTTCTTTTTGGTTCTGAGTTTTTAAGATAAAATAATTGATGGCAGGGTGCCTGGCTGGTTCAATCAGTAGAGCATGCAACTCTTGATCTGGGGGTTGTGAGGTCAAGCTCCAGGATGGGCACAGAGCTTACTTAAAAAAAATACATTTATTTTTTTAATGGTTATTTATTTTTGAGAGAGAGAGAGAGAGAGAGAGAGAGAGAGAGAGAGAGAGAGCGCGACCAGGGAAGGGGCAGACAGAGAGGGAGACACAGAATCCAAAGCAGGCTCCAGGCTCTGAGCTGTCAGCACAGTCAGATCCCCAACTGACTGAGCCACCCAGGCACCCTAAAAATTAAAAAAAAAAAAAAATGTTTTGATGGCAACAGATTCTGTGTATAAAAGTGGATCCTGGACAGGTCTCTATTTGTCAGATGTTACGAAAAAAGACTTATTCGCATTCTTTTACATAACTCTTAGAAAACTACTACAGGGAAATGATTCCTCAAATTTTAAGGATGAGGCACAGAGAGGTTATTAAGTCCTCAAGGTTTCACAACTATAGAATACTAAAACTAAGATTGCAACTCCGATCTCTTGCTCCTAAGTTTGTGTTCTTTCCCCTCTGACTTACCGTCTCTCATAACAAATCATCCATTTAATATATGACCTATGTGAATCTCTTGGAGCCAAGGAGACAAAGAAGGAGAAACACTCACACATCTTAAAAAGCTTATGAAAAGTCAAGTGACAATCCAAGAGTTAAAGTCAGGTCTCCTTAAATGTATCTTTGCCAATCATTTCTTCATCTCCTTCTTATGGAGGTAGAATCCTCAAAAGCAAGAACCACATGTCTGTAAATTCTTGAACCTTATGAGATTTATCCCACACAATGCAAGGGTCATCCCAAAGACAACCAAGATTCAGAGTCTGCCTGATACTGCCATCTAGTAAGGAAATCACCATTTTCATCAACGTTGCCACCTGTGAACTCCCATCCTATGGCTCTAGGCAAGTCTTCTGTAGCTATAAAAAATAAAGCTCACCTCCCAGACCTATTGTAGTGGTGGAAAACACTAGGCGTATAGGCAGAAAATTTCAAGTCAAGGCTCACCATGTAGCAGTTCTTTGACATGAAACAAATATTTAAACATAATCCTGAAACATCACTGCCCCTTGGTCTTTTACCATTAAAAAATGGTAATTACCAGTAACCACTGTCCTTTCGCATACTAGCAGTAAGAATCAGATGGAAGAACTTTATAAAAAAGTTTTAAGGCAACAAAACACCATATAAGGTAAATACTTGTTCTCTTTTTCAAGATAAATAGAAGCCATATAGTAGCATTAACTTTGCAGGATGTAAGTAATTCTTTTAAACTTTGAGCTCAGTTTTCCTCATCTGTATAAGATGGGGATAATAATCTCTATTTTGAAAATATCAAAATGAGATGGTGCATTAAAATGCTTTACAGACTAATGGTTTCTTCAACTCTGAGAATGACACTTCATACTCTTTCTTGATTGTGGTTTACAGGCTTTTCATATACTAATTCTCCTACTCTGGACTAGATCTAATATCCAAGCTCTGATCTGATCATAAAGACTACATACACTGAGACCACTATTTTTTCTGGTGACTGTCATTATATCACAGTTAATGCAGTCAAAGATTATACTGCCTTTATCTAGTAGTCCTATCACAGTAGATTCCTAAGATGAGTAAGATAAATAAATTCCTAGGCCTGTTTTCCAAAAAGATTTATTAAAGCAATTCCCCCACAGTGCCCAGGTGGCTCGGTCAGTTATGTGTCTGGCACTCTTGATTTTGGCTCAGGTCACGATCTCTCGGTTCGTGGGATCAAGCCCCACATTGGGCTTGGTGCTGACAGTGTGGAGCTTGCTTGGTATTCTCCCTCATCTTCCTTTTGCCCCTCCCCTGCTCACAGGCATGCTCTCTCTCTCTCAAAATAAATAAATAAACTTAAAAAATAAAATTCCCCCTAATTCTACATTTGTATGGCTAATGGAGGGGTGAAGGGCAGCTTCATGCAAAAGTTTATAGTTATCCTTACTGTAATTCACCTTTGAAGCTTAATCTGACCCTTGCATGTCAACCTCTAGAATTCTGATTCTGTCATCCAGAAGAGTGGATATTCCACACCAAATCTGCATGATGGGCAAATGTAATAAGTCTTTATCCCAAGTTCTTGGCAAACATGTTAAATGGGTCAGAACCAAGGACAGCACCCATGATTCTAGATCTGTATTTCCATCGAGGCTACTGTGGATCCATTCATTAAATACTCACAGTACCAATACAGAGCCACTGGTTCTGTGGCCACCCAGATGTACTACTGTCCAGCCCACATCTCTCTATTCAGTGTTCGGATATTTGGAGAAACTCTGCCCCCCATAAAGACCTTATCACCTTTACCTTTGCACCATTCTTCTAACCTACTAATCTGATAGCCTTATCCCAACCTCCCACCCCACAATCAAGTGAATTTGGTATGGTTACTCTTTGTAGTCCCTTGCTGGTGCTTCCTACATAAAGTTGGTATTGTATTTTTTGTTTACCAGTTGGCAAGGAGCTGCTTTGTATCCCTTTTTTAACATATATAACCCAAGTTCATGACACAAAAATTATAAAAGGCATATAAGCAAAAATTTTTAATCCCTAAATCCTCTCAGAGATAAAGGTTCCTAGCATTCTGTATACATCCCTATAGGTTTACACAACCCTACACGGTCTCTTCAGCTGCAAATTAATTAACTTTGATAATCCATTTTAAAAGTCTGCCACAGTATAACATTAAATTTACTAGCCAATATCCCCCCAATACACCCAACCTCAGGTCTCCAGTTCTTAACACCAAGAAGTCTGCTCATCAATCATCTCAGAGTACTATCCATGCAGGGCTACCAAATGCAGTTGTACAAGCTGTAAAGGGTACAACTGTACCTAGTAGCTCTGCCTACGGTTTTCTAATGTTTGTTTATTTTGAGCTGCAGGGAGAGATGGAGAGACGGAGAGATGGAGGGATGGAGGGAGAGAGAAAGAGTGAATCCTAAGCAGGCTCCATACTGTCACAGCAGAGCCCAATGTGGGGCTGGAACCCACGAACTCTGAGATCATGACCTGAGCCAAAATCAAGTCAGACACTTAACCGACTGAGCCACCCAGGAGCCCCTCTGCCTATGGTTTTCAATTACTTCTCAACGTTCCACAATTCTGAAAATCACAACTCCGTGTTCAATCACTACCCTGGCACACAATGTCTTTAGGTCTACTTGTCTATAGAAGCTATGTGTTTCCTTTTTGTGTATCTCCATGATCATGTGCTCCTTTCTTCCATTTGCATTTAAAATCAGTGAGATCCATGGATAATCATAGGGTACTTGTACCTCTCCACTGCTAGGGCTGACAAATTTACTGACAAGAATTTCAAATTTCAGAATCTCTCTGCCCTCTACAATCACATTTTCTTTTAGCACCTCTAATCATGGGCTAATAGATTTAACTCTTCTCTGAATTTTTCTAATTCTGGGTACTTATCTCATCTAGTTTCTCACGTTCTATGAGAACAGTCACCTTTCAAGGTCCACATTACTTCCATATCGTCAACTAAATCCTCCTAATTGGTTATAAACACACCCCTAACCAATTCCCCTCATGAGTCCCTCACTCTGAGTGATGAAATGCATAGTGAGATAAGAATGCATCAGATAGTTGCTTTCTCCCTGCAACTCAGTGCAACTTCCTCAATGACTGCAACACCTCCATCGTCTGTATCTGAGCTGGGAAAGTGGCATCCATCCAAGTCTTCTACCTGGCTGGGTGGTCCAGGAGCTGGCTCTCAGAAGCCTGTGTAGTTGTAGTTGAATCATTTAGGGCAAGTGATTTTTAAAAATAAACAGGGGCACCTGGGTGGATCAGTCAATAGGGTATCCAACTCTTGGTTTCAGCTCAGGTCCTCAAGTCATGACCTCATGGTTCGTGGGATTGAGCCCCGAGTGGGAATCTGTGCTGACAGCGTGGAGCCTACTTAGGATTCTCTCTCCACCCCACTCGCTGTCCCTCCCCCATTCATGTGTGTGCCTGTGGGCTCACTCGTTCTCTCTCAAAAAAACAAAAAACAAAAAACAAAAACAAAAACAAAAAAAACCAACTTAAAATAAAACAAACAAAAACACCACCACCAAAAACAGATTCCCTGGACATTTTTTTGGTCTACTGAATCAGCATGGCTACATGGTGAAGACCAGGAATCTGTCTTTTTAGAAGTGCCACCAGATAATTCTGATACTGGGAACTACTGCCTTATAGCAATTGATATCCTTTTTAGTCTAGCTCACCATTAGACTATCACTGAGTTTCTACATAAGGAAGTCTCAAACACATCTTTCCTCCTCTTTCAAATGCCATCACTCCAATCCAGCCACATCTCCATCATATCTAGAAGACTGACTTCCCTTGCATAATGCTTTAAGTTCATGCCATCAATTCCAGGAGGCAGGGCATTTCAGTCTCTTGGAAAATGCACTGGCTGTAGAGTCAGATAACCTGGGTTGAAGCAAATCAGTTTTCCTTTTTGGATCTCAGTCTCCCATAAAATAGGAATAATATTAGACACCTGTCATGAATGATCTGATATAATGTGCACAGTAACACTCTGACAACAGTTATTCTCAATATCCTCATTTTACAGAGAAGGAACTTCTTAGCCTTGTTGGGAAGGTTAACAGGAGGTTACGAAGGAGTCAGATACAAAGCAGGCTCTTGCTAAGTGTCAGTCTCTGCTCTCCTTCCCTCATCTCCAAATCCCCTTAACTGCTACCATTGGTCAAAGAAAC